CGCCAGGTGATGGGGCGGGAAGGGGCGGGCGGCGCAGCGGGACCATCCGCAGGGTCCCAGGCCCCAGGAGCGGGCTCCGAGCAGCGGGCGCGGCGGAGCTCGGGGCCTGCCGGGCTGCCGGAGCCCCGAGCCGGGGCTGGGCTGGGCCGGAAGGAGCTGAACCCTGAGGGTAACCTTCTCCGGGAGTAGCGAGCGATCCATAAATACTAGTCCGTCATATTTGGGGGTCGCTGCCTCGCAGCCTTCCCGTGATAGCGGTAATAAATCGTGAAACCCTCGCTGTGTCCAGCGGAGCAGGTTGTTTGCGGCAGGGAGGGGTTGGGTTCGTGTCCGGGTCGCCCCCTCTTCCAGCCCGTGCTCCCCTTTTAGCGCATTCCTGGTGTTCCTAGAACAGCCTTTGTGCGGGGTGAGGCACAGCGAGCTCGGCTGGGCAGGCTCTTGGGAAAGCCTTATCAGTCGGGTGCAAACAGCTCTGCACAGTTTGTTTTGTTTGGTTTTGGTTGTGGGGTTTTTTTTGGTTGGTTTTTTTTTCTGGGGTTTTTTTTTTTTTTTTTTTTTTTTTTTTAACTGCCGTTGTGTTCCGGCTGCACCTTAGTCGGCAATAAAAACAATGTTAAGCACGTGCTTTGCTCCTCCTCCTGCTCGGTGACTGAACTGTGTGATTAGGGTTGGACAGGACTATTGCAAACAAGATAGCGTGGGTTGCGCCCAGGTGCGGAGTTCAGAAACAAGCCCTTACAAAAGGTGGAGAAATTTACTTGGAAAACCTTAAGGAGTCAGGCACCCGGCTTTCACCCATCTCTCTGCCCCGGTGGAGTTTGGTATTTTTGTTGGTTTGGTTTTTTTGGGTCTTTTTTTACCTTTTAGCCATAATCTTAGCTTCTAAAGCAAAGTTGGTTATAGCAGCAGTTTGAAAAGCAGTGATACTTGAGTCTGTCAGAGAGAGTTAAAAGCCGGATTGATGGTTCCAGTGTGGTTAAAAAGTGATAAGCAATCATCTCTTGAAAAATAGGTTTTACTCATACAGTAATTTGCTAGCATGGGATTTTGCATCCCTTTCTTCCTTGTTAAAAAGTTTGCCTTGGATTTCAAATGGTCAGATCTTTAAGTTACAGGATACGCAAAGCAAAGTGAACTGAACTTCTAATTGTATTTGCCTGTTCTTAAGTTAAATATCCAGAAAGGTTTACTCTCTTAAGTGGCCTTTTTAAAATAAAAATATTTTCAGATAGCTCTCTAAACTTCTGCAAGCAAATATGCATTCTTTAAATATTGTATTTGTTTTATTGTTGGCATGTGAAGAGGTTTAAAGCAGTTACCTTTAAAAAATATTCTGATACTTAAAGAGCTGAAATGAGACACCAAAACTTAGATGAACAAATTGTTTAAAAATTAGATGACAAAACAGTCACACAGTTCTTAAAATAATATTTTTTAGTCTTGAATTTAGGCACTTTTTTCCTGTTTGGAAAAAGTTTGCCAAGGAAGTGTTTTTGAAAGGTTATACTTAATCTCTTTTTAATTACAAGATGTCAGTAACAAAAAAAGTTGTCTGGAAGGATGTGGTTTTTCCCCATCCCTTGCTTTAAGTCACGGCATTTAGAACATGTAACTTCTTATTTTCTTGGAAGAAGAAATCATCATCAGTATACCTCTAGTGATGGCTGTGTTGTCTCATTTTCTTTAAGTTGGCTGTTAATAAAAATGTGGGACAGTATCCCACAGCTTCCATAAGTGGCTTTTGGTCTATAACCAGTGTATATTAACTACTTAGAGCTCATTCCAGTTAGCTCAGAGATGCACACTGAGAGCTGTTGATGACTTGGTCCACTCCTATCGGCACGTCCCAGAGGCCTTTATTCCAGAATGAAAATGAATACAGTTTCGTCAGCGGCAGCTCTCTCCTGGCCTTCTCTGAAAGGGAGACAAAAAAGAGGGGAAAAAAAATCCCCAAACCCCTACCTTAATGCAGTGACAGAAGTAGCCTACTTAATAGGAACATTTATGCAGGTTTACTGCCTTGCTGGGAAAAGATGAGACAGGATCTCTGTAAAGCAAGACTTGGAGAGCCAGTCTAACAGTACCTTGTATAGCTTTTTACAGATGGCGTTGGAAAGACTTGGACATCAAACAGGCAAACCTGAATTTAGCAAGTTAATAGTTTGCCTGTGGTGAATGCTTGTTGTAACCTAGTTGTTTGAAATATCTCTTTAGGCTAAAGCTTAAACTAATGTTGCATTTCAGACTACCTTATTATAAATATTGTTCTTGTACTGCTGAGTTATTATCTCTAACAGAAACACCACAGACTTGCAGTGGATTTGCCAGTTAATTCTTGATTAATTTTAAGTTGAATTCCATTTTCATGGTTGCAGAATCCAATTCCTTTATATTTTTGTTAGTTGCAGATGGTTGTGAGTCACTGTTCAGTTTTCTTGCTTTTCTTCCCTGGTGAGGTGGCTCAGCAACAGAACTCTGGCAGAAAGCTCATTCCAGCGCAGGAATTGTGTTCTTCATAGTCCCATAGACGGGAACTGAATCATGGAAAACAGTTCTCAGGAAGCAAGTAGAGATTTTTGCCCAGTACTGTTTTCATCCTCTGCTTGCCTCCAAGTGTGCTGGGATTAAAAATAGGAGTTGAAAAAAGTCAAGACATATTTTCTTCATCAGTCTTCCGTGACCGTATGTTCAGGTTTGTCTGCATCATCTTATGAGTGGCTTTAGATCTTAAGCGATAGCTTGCTTCTGTCATGTGAGTAGCTAGGATTAAAGCCTTTTAAAGATAGGTAGGGAGGTGCTGGCTCTGAGAAAATAATCTGTGATGCATTGGATTATGAACAGTATAAATTTTAGCTGGCATTTTGTTTCAAGAAGTCCTTCCAAACTTAGTCGCAGTACATAGCAGAGAAACTTAACTTTTCAGATCCCAGAAAGACTGGGTGGGCATATGATAATCCTTGATGTGTAATTGTGCTTGAATGTTAAACCAGGATGAGATTGCTGTGTATGAAGTCCTTGTTTATCTTCTAGAAATCAGGGAGGCTGGAGGTGTTTTATGTGTCAGGCTCACTCCGCCCCCGGATTCTCTCACCTCTTTAGAGACTGGAATTGGGCACATTGTGTTTAATTGTGAGGTAGCAGACATGCTACCTTTAGGACATGATGTGCATCATACCGAGGCTTTTAAAAATAAATGATCATATGCCAAGTTCAGTTGTAAGATGGCATGTACAAAAGAAGATGTTTGGATTAAAACCCAGTGAGCTGTTGATTTATTTCAGATATATGTAGTGGTAAGGGTTTTTTTCTCTCTAATAATGTAATACAAGGTAGAAATTGTTTAAGTGACGTCGTTATGGAAAAAGTGTGTGCTACAACGTTTTGCTTCAGACTTGCTGAATTTAATACAATTTTGAAGATTTTTTTCTGGCCCTTCTCTAAATTTTTTTTGCAGGTTGAAGCTTCGAGACTTAGTGGAAATCTTCTCTATTCTTAGTGGAATTCTACCCTATAATTGTTTCCTATATAGGAATAGATAGACTTCCACTAAGAAACTATATAGTTTCTTAGTGGAAATCTATCTCTATATCTTATCTACTAGTTAGCTGTAAAAATGAAAGTATACCAATCTATTTAACGAAATATATTTTCAAGGATACTGACTTAAAACAGATGCCTATTAAAGTAACGTGTTTAAAATAAATTAATTAAAAAAGAAAATACTCTTCCTCTCTGAGAAAAAAAAATATTTGGTCTGATACAACAGCTGCAGTATGCAATGCCTGCAAACATGCATACAGTAATTATTTACTTCCTTGCCTGATTTTTATCTCCACAGTTTCAAGTGTTGTTCCTAATAAATAGGACTGGGGGGCAGCAATATTTATGTCAGTGTTCAAAAAATTGTTTAGAAGATTATTCTTAACATTAGTAGAACAGTAGAGTAATAATCAACAACACAGTGAAGCAAATTAGGTTCAAAGTGTTCTCAAACACACAAATGAAACACTGAAAGGAAAGTGACTGTTATAAATGGGTTGGCACAGTTAATGATTGAAGAAGTAGTATTAAAGATATCAATTTAGATGATAATGTTATTTCTGGACTGCCACTCCAGTTTGTTACTTGGGTCTTTTTACCTTTACTATATGGCAGGATAAAAAATCCTGCCAAGGTGTTGTTGCATAAAATACCCTTTTCACCTCCATGGTTTTATATTAATATTTTTCTCAGCTCTTTTACATTTACAAGATAAATAGATTTTAATTTTTTTATTACTTCTGTAGAATGAAACGAGGAAGGAAAACTAATGAGGCCAACAGCAGTTCGTCTGAAGACACAACTGAGAAGGAATCCAAGAGACACAAGGTTGTAGAGAAAAAAACCACAGTTGTGCAGAGTCCTGACTGGGCAAATCTGCTCCAAGACATTATCCTGCAGGTATTCCAGTACTTGCCACTTCTGGATCGTGCTCATGCATCCCAGGTCTGCAGGAGCTGGAACCAAGTGTTTCATATGCCTGATCTCTGGAGGTGCTTTGAGTTTGAACTGAACCAACCAGCCACATCGAACCTGAGAACTACACACCCTGAACTAATCAAGCAAATAATAAAGAGGCATTCCAATCACCTGCAGTATGTTAGCTTCAAGGTAGTGTATTTTATAGGCTTTTCAAAAGTAACTTTTATCCTAAAAGGAATGGGGCAGCTGTCAGTGTGGAAAGTGGACTTGTTTTCAGGCTTAATATACAGAAGAAATGGGTTCTCTAATGGACCACGTAGACATGGTGGTTACCTCCTTATTAATTTGTTTTGGTATATTTTTAGGACCAAAACATGGAATAACAGTACTGAACATACCTATTTATTGTCTTATTTCTGTTAGATGGGAATTTTTTTTGGTTGGTGGTATGCTTTTTCAGGGTTTTTTTGTTTGTTTTTGTGGATTCTCTGTTGTTTTTGGGGGAGGGGGGTTGGTGGGTTCTTTGGTTGGTTTTTGGTTTTTTGAGTTTTTTCTGTAGGTGTTTGGCTGCTTAAAATCCTACTTAATTAAGTGGACAGAAATAGTTCTGATATGACTGCATGTGTGGGTTACTGTCTCAGAATTAAGTTCAGTCAGGATACGTAAGTCGAGTATATCCCCATTTCACATCCTGTGGGTACTTAGCTCTAATATCCATGGTTCAAAAACATCTAATGCACAGACAGTGACTTCAGTACTACTAGTCATCAGCTAGCAGTTTTAGTATTAAATTGTATGGGATTGTCTGTACTCAGCACAACTGCATTTCAGGGGACTGAAAAAGTACATGGGATCTGCATAGGATGGTGCATGTACTGACTGTGCCTGGCTGAGAAACACCATTTGATGAGAATTGGTTCTGTTCACACTGTGGAATTATTTTCAGCAGGTGAAAGCTTTTAATGTGGGTTTACATACCAGTGTGTTTCGGAAGGGTGTTGTGACTCTCATGGTTGTGTATGCATCAGTTATGTGAGAAATTTGGAAAGGAAATATGTTCTGCAGCAAGTTCAGTATACTTGTTTCTGAGATCAGGCAGTTCTAATGCTGGAATCATCAGCATGTGAATAACTGAGTCACCTCTGCTTGATCACATGTATTGCTACTGCTTGCTTGCAATAACAGATACAAACTGTTACCATAAGGTTTGCAGGGCTTTTATCAGCATCCAAATAAAGAAAAGCTAGGGCTGTAGTGCATTGACCTCTCAGTGTCTTATCTCCTGTCTATGTTGCTTTATGCCCAAAGAATTTCGGATGCCCTTTGCTCATAAGGTAATCCATTATTTCTTTCATGTGTCACTTCAGCTGTCCTCAGTGGTGCGGAATGCACAAGGAAGTGGGTGTAACACTCACCGTTCCTCTATAAAGGCTGAGAACAAGAGGTGTGTTTTCTGTATGCAAAGGAAGATGAGATTGTTGAAAACCAAGGTTTTTCAGCTTGCATTTGAGCAGAAATTGAACATTCATTGGATTTAATCTACTGCTGCCAAGGTAGCATGGTTTATGGTGAAGTTAAATTTGATCCTGTGATCAAGCTTTATACTGTTCTGTAGGTTTGCAAAGCTGTCATGGCTGCTGTACACAAGGGGTTATTCAGAAAGCACATCTGAGTGTCAGGGGAAGTCCACTGGAGACACACTAAGTGATTTGGTTGGGTAGTAAGCTGACTAATGAAGGTTGTGGGGTTTGTGTTGGTTGGTTTGGTTTGGTTTTTTTAGAGTATCCATTGCATCTGTTGTGGTTTCTGTGGTGAAGGGCCAGTCATACAGGTTCACGTGCTAATGCACTTGAGTCTCCAGCAGCTCAATTTTATGATCTGAGCCACTGTAAAAAGAAGTGTCTTTTGCACCCAGTAAAGGATTTACAGAATTCTTGCATTTTTGTAAGGAGGAATGTAAAGAGGAATAGCAGTAAGCTCTGGACCCTCCACTTGCTTGTTATTTGACATGGAATGAGTATCTTGGAACCAACTGTTTAGTTGACCCCTCACCATGCTATATTTTACCAAAGTGTTTAGAAGAGTAGTAAATTTATAGCAAATAGTCTTGGATTTTTGGTTCATACTTTTTGGGGGAATAAAGAATAACATTGATGGATTCATAATGAGGAGTTTTTTTGACATCACATTTCAGAAGGTAAAGTGAAAAAAAAAGTTAAAGAGTGTATTTTCAGTGCTTTCTGAACACAAAATTCATTTTGTTTTAAGGTGGACAGTAGCAAGGAATCTGCAGAAGCAGCTTGTGATATTTTATCACAGCTTGTGAATTGCTCTCTGAAAACACTTGGGCTAATTTCAACTGCCCGGCCAAGCTTCATGGATTTACCAAAGGTATTTTATTATGTATATTTTCTATTGAAAAGTATTGCAGTGTTTCATACAGTACTTCTGTAACTTTATGAAAAGTTTATCATAGGAATATGCATCTTTGATAAAGAAAAGTTTATTAGCGGTCTGATCTCTAATAAAGGGAGGAGCTGATATGTTGAGTGATGGATATATAAAGTTCCATTCAGTCTCTGAATCATGGGAGAACGTAGGCCTGACCTTGTTCTTCCAAGTCCTCCTGAGTCCTCCTGTCTGTTGACCTCAATGCAGTGCTGAGCAGCATGGTGCAAGTTAAGAGGCTAGACAGTTCAGGTCTGTGTAATTGTGTTGTGGGATTTGTTTAGGAGACAGTTACAATCAAATAAGTGGTAGAGTTTTATCCATGTGGACTTGCCATAGGACTTGCACGATCTCTTCAGAAAGAAATTTGATTGTGATTTGCAGGGCTTCATATCATGCAGTCAAGCCTCAGCATCCTTGGTGAAGTGCACTGTATTTCTGAAATTTTCAGTCAAGATTTTTAACTTGCATGTTTACTAAAAATCAAATCTTGTTAGAAGGCATTTAATCTGGAAGATAACAAATCTCTTTTATGTGCTTCTAGAGAAGCATTCTTGCTAGTGGGATGGAAGTGTCCTATTGCTAAGGAGCAGGGGAGTGGTTGTGAAGGGACAGGTACAAATAGACTATTAGCTAGATCTCAGTGATGTCATGGCTGGTGAAGGCAGTAAGGAGAAAGAAGAACTAGAGAGCCTTGGGAAAGGAAGTAGGCTGCAGATAAGGTTAGCTACAGGTTATCAGTTATTATCCTTGCAGTGGTCACTGCCACATCATGTAGCTGTCTTAAATATGTATTTTTAATCCATAGTTTTCAAAAAGGCTTTTCAGATGTTTATCTAGTTTTGTTCTTATTTTTTTTCCTTTTTAATGTTCTTCGAGGTATGATGATAAGAAAACCTGAATGTAGTGAAAATAATCCACAGTGTGTTAAAAATACTTCGTCCTTTCAGCTCTTTCTTATTGTTTTCTTTATTAATCTGGATGCTGCTTTAACTCTCTTAGTTTTTGCTGGGGGTCATGCTAGGGTCATGTCCAGCTTGCTGAGTAATTACTTGTAATTGTTCATGCTATGTTCTTATTCATCTTCAAGGCTTATAAAGCACAGGCATCCTTTTCTTGTTCTAAATAAGTTCACATTTAGCCTTTAAAAAAATAGATTCAAAATAAGCCAAAATTAGCTCTAAGGATAATTTGCCTTTTGATATTTACAACTTCAATAGTTTTGTCACTGGCATAAGGGAAAACTAGTGAAACTGAAGAATTGGATTTGATCATGACTGAATTATGGTAGGTTTTTTATTTTTATCAGACTGTATAGGAAGTCTGAACCTACTTGGCATTATCTTCATCGGTGCTGTTTTGTTGTCAAGTGACCTGACATGTGGCAAACATCTGTAACTCATATTTGGAGTTCTGTTGCCTGTCTTTTCACTAAGTACATTCTAGGTGAGTAGAATCTTTTAAAGAATCATACTACAGACTACAGATGTGGCAATATTGAAATGACCAACTTTTACATGTTGGGATATTGCCTGTTTCCCATTAGCTCTCCAAACTAGAAGGTTCAAGTTATTTTTTTTTTTTAAAGTGTGGTTACCTTTCTTTGCCTTTCTGTTTAACAGCCTTCTTTTTCTAAATACATACAGAATAAAAATACAATACAGAATAAAAACACAGTACTTACATTCTGATAATACAGTGTTGAAATAATATTAAAGCATCTTTTCTTCTGTACATAACATACATAAGCAGCATACTGTCAGGATAGTTGGAGTTGTCCCTAAAGCCAAAGTGCATAAAGATTCTGAGTTGAATTTCCTCTTTCCATTTGCATGAACTGACTTTGAAAGTATATGTAAATGTAAAAGCAGTAAATCCTATTCTAAATCTAATTGTGTGGCAGTTTTATCAAAAATCAGAAATATATGACCTAACAATGTACAAATATTGTTGCCAGGCTTTCTCATATAACTGTATTCAGGATATGTGCCTGTGGCTCAGAGTGAAACAGGCTTGAAATCCAAGTAGCAGGTCAATTTTTTTAAATACTTAATGTAGCGCATGGAGAAAATACTTCTTTGAAGTCTTCTGTTTGGTCAGTCTTCTAAGAAATCAGGAAGATGAACTAACTGTTCACTTCATACCACCAGTGGTTTCTACAGTCATTGCTGTATCTGCTCCTTAGTCTGTGTTTCTCAAGTTCAGGTTCCCAAGGCTCTGTCTTTAATGAGTTTCAGTGGTTAGGCAAAAATGCTGAGCACTTGTCCTACCTTATTTGTGCTGCTTATTCAGTAATTAATTTATTTCCTGCTTCTTGGACCACTTCTGTTTGGACCACTCCAGTTTACAAGAAATCCATCCAAATCCTAAATACTCTTGTGTGGGTGGTGGGCGAGGCAGTACAGTCATTTGGCTTTGGATACGAACACTCCTGACTGTGTTTGCATCTTACCAGTGCAGCACAACTTGCTATGAGGGAATTCCTCTTCTAGAAGATGCTTCTTTTAGAGTGTGACTTGCCTCATCTGTTCAAAGGACGACAAAAAAAAAAAAAAACTCCTCAGAATTAGGGCTTCTAGTCTTCCCCTTGGCTTGTGGACTTTTCTGTAGATTTAAATTTACACAGTGGATTGCCCAGGGTCACGGTCTTGATTAACATCTGATGTTACACATTCTGATTTGCCCTACTCATAAAAAAATAACAAAAAGTTATTACACCTCCTCTACTAAAAAATGTCAGTTTTAGTACTACTTTTTAATTATGCAATATCAAAATATGCTTTTTCAACAAATGCTGTTTAGAACTGAAAATTAGGACTGCTGTGTACAATGTAAATCCCTTGAGATTTTTACTTCAGATACTATTCTTTCATTTTAACTTTCTTTTTTTTCAGTCTCACTTTATTTCTGCACTGACAGTGGTGTTTGTGAACTCCAAATCCCTCTCTTCACTTAAGATTGATGACACACCAGTAGATGATCCATCTCTCAAGGTCCTGGTGGCTAACAACAGCGACACGCTCAAACTGTTGAAAATGAGCAGTTGTCCTCATGTTTCTCCAGCTGGTAAGCTATTGTGGTTTTGGGGTTAGCCTCTTTGGGATTTGTTGGTTGGTGGGGATTTTCTAATACGTGCCTTAAATTTTATCCGAAGCCACTACACCTCTGAAAAAATAGGGGTGGGGTAAGAAGGAAGATGAATATGGTATTGCCAGCAACTGTCCCTGAATAAAGTACTTTGAGCTGGTGGTCAATCCATCTATCCTACCACTTCACAGTGACTACTGGGCTAATAATAAAATAGTGCATCTCTGTTGTGGGAAAGTAGTTAACCTCATGTGGAACTTAATGAGAATATATCAAATTGATTGTACACTATTTGTGCAATGACCAAATATTCCAATAGAATTAAGATTTTTTGGAATACAAGTTTCTTTTCCATATTTCATTATGTGTGGATTTTGACTGTTGCCATGCCATGGATTAGGAAGATGCTGGTTTTCTTTCTGAAGGAAAGTCGTTGCTGGAGAATAACTGCAGACAGCCTAAAAAAGGGGAGATGAGACTGTGCAAAACTTCTACTGTCACCAGATGTACTTCTCTAACACTCTTAAGTGTGTCTGTAGCAACAGTGAAGCCAGCTCATACCAGAATGAAATCACTCAAGATTGTTGAAGTTCACAGAATTAACATTTGTGGTAGACTTATGCAACACACAGCAAGTTTAAGATTTATTCACAGCCCATCAGCTTGACACTTACAGGTTTTCATTGAGAAAGGGAAGAAAAATTGTAAATTAAATGCTGGCAACTTAGTATGATTTCTCTTCTGTGAAGGAGTACAAACTATAGAATAGTTTATATATATTGTGTATATATATAATATAGAAATAGAAACCATAACACCGTAACTTTCTTCATGCAAATACATTGCAGCTGTAAATGCTAGATTTGTTATCTGTCAAATTCACCAGCAGGATTTGTCAAAGGGGAAAGCAGTACTGTTGCAGAGGGCATGTTACTGTAGTGATAACAAACCAAACAAAGTTAATACCTTTTGCAAGAGTAGCTCTCAGACAAAACCTTGTGTTTGGTTTTGTATAAAGAAGTCCTGAAAATGAAGGACTGATTTTTTTGCAGCAACCTGATCCAGCAAAATGTTAAGGAATTAACTTCAACATTGCCTCCTCCAAAGCAAGGAGGAGGCCTTAGTCCTAATCTTAGATGGGTGTTGTTTGAATTGGCTTGAGGGACTGGCTTTTCCAACTTAAAATTTTTTTTTGAGAATCCTTGTGTCTGAGAAGTGCAAGAGCTGTAATGTGTCTATCAAGAGGAAAAGGCTTCAGCAGTAATTTGTCGCTAGGCAGAGAGGGTAATTTCCTTGGAACTGTCAGCTCTAGCAGACTTTGCTGGCTTGTGGATAATCCTTGCTAGAAGGCTTCATTGGAACATCATACACTTGATAATTTGGGAGGAGACATGGATGTGTCCTGATTGATGTATCTTGCATGTTTTAAATTGAAGGAACAATGGATAAGAAATGGTCATACCTGTTTAAGAAGCACAACTGCTATTGTCTTTCATGGAGTGGAGATTAATAGATTGGGGTAAAATGCATTAGTAACAAAACCAGGGAGTGCTAAGCAAACAGTAGAAGAGTTTAATTGCTTAATTCAAGTATGGGTGTGCCTTGAAATGAAGAAAAAAGTGGATGCATTGGGTTTGCATGCCACTGTTTTGTGGGGCAGTGAGGGGGCTACAGGAGTGGCTTCTGTGAAAACTGCCAGAAGCTTCCCCAAGTCCAACAGAGCCAAAGCCCATCAGTGACAATGGTAGTGCCTCTGGATAACCTGTTTAAGAAGGAGGAAAGGTACTGCAAGAGAGCAATTGCAGCTGGAGATGAGTGAGAATACGTGAGAGAAACCACTCTGCAGACACCAAAGTCAGTGAAGGAGGGGCAGAAGCTGATACAGGTGCTGGAGCTGAGATTCCCCTGCAGCCTGTGGTGCAGACCATGGTGAGGCAGCTGTGCCCCTGCAGGCCATGGAGAGCCAGGGTGGAGCAGATCCACCTACAGCCTTTGGAGGACCTCATGTTGGAATAGGTGGATGCCTGAAGGAGGCTGTGACCCTGTGGGAAGCCCATGCTGGAAGAGTCTCTTAGAAGCACTTGTTGAGAGAGGAGTCTATGCTGGAGCAGGTTTGATGGCAGGAATTGACCATGTGGGGAACACTGGAGTCTGTTCCTGAAGGACTGCACACCGTGGAAGAGAGCCATGCTGGAGCAGTTTGTGAAGAACTGCAGCCTGAGAAGGACTCCTGCTGGAGAAGTTCATGGGGGACTGCTCCCATGTGAGGGACTCCATGCTAGAGCCGGGAAAGAGCGTGAGGGGTCTCCCCTTGAGGAGGAAAGAGTGGCAGAGAGCATCTGAAGAACTGACTACAGCCTCCATTCCCTGTGCCCCTGTGCTGTTGGGAGGGAAGGAGGTAGAGAAAATAATGAGGAAGTTGAGCCTGGGAAGAGCAAATGAGTGAGAGGAAGGTGTGTTAAGATTCAGTTTTATTTCTCATTATCCTACTGATAATGACATTCAGTTGATAATAAATTGATTTCCCCAAGTTGAGTCTGTTTTACCTGATGGTAATTGGTGAGTGATTTCTCCCCATCACCCTTATCTTCACTCATGAGTTTTTAATTGTATTCTCTCTCCCCTGCCCAGCTGGGGAAAGGAGTGATTGCACAGCTTTGGTGGGCACCTGGTGTCCAGGGAGGGACCACCCACTAAATGGCGATCAAAAGAAAGAAGCTGGTGTGTGGATAGTTGGCTTCAAGAGCAGGCAGGCTGCAAAAATGGGACTTTTAAAGCGAAATGTGACCTGGATTTTATTTTTTTTTTTGTAATGGGAATATAATAATTAGCAGGCTGCAATAAATGTGGAAAAACTTTATTGAACCAAAAAGGCTGTGAGTTGGAAAACTAATTACTTATAGATGGAGCTAAAATGTCTTCAGATTAGAGGAGGGGAGAATGCTCATTACTAGGTCAGTTCTCAAGAAGTTTTTTAGTGAAGGACAGAAAAGAGTAATGAAAGTAGAGCAAGAGAGACTCCACTACTGCAGGGATAAAGGAAGAAGATTGGTATCAAACAGTGAATTACTCTAAGTTACTTTACAAAGATAAAGAGGCACATTTGAGGTTGAGCTGCAGAAACAAAGGCAGTGATGTATTTCTAATATTTGTGAGCTTACATGAAGTTTCTTCGGTTTGTTGTTTCCACTCTGAAATACTAACTGCTGGAACAGAGGGAATGGGAAGTGTTCCTGTAAAGGTGGTGTTTCTGCTGTAGCATGGGGGTGAGAAGGCTGCTTCTCTTGAAGTGGGAGTTGAGAAGCAGAGCAGTGTCAGGTGTGCCTGCATCAGGGACATCATGGGTCAGGGATTTTTTTGATGCAACTCTGTGTAGCAAGATCAGAGAGCAGAGCACAAAGATGTAGGCAGTGCCTGGGGATGTTCTGTGCAGTACGTGGGCTCCAGGCAGGCCCTCTAGTAGCTGTCTACACTGTATTCATTGTCAGCTCTGTATGTAGGATGCATACTTGCACTGACAGACTGTGCATATCCAGTTCTAGACCCATAAAAATCATAGTAAGTTGAACCCCAAGTCTTCCCTTTTTGCTTTGCACTGGTCCATAATGTACCCCTAAAGTTAATTTGTGGAAAGATGGCAGCCAGGACAACAAGCTTTGTCATGGTAAGAAAATATATATGGATTTTGAAACTACCTAAAATACTTTATAGCTCAACAGACCTAGGTATTCTGAAGCAGCATGTCTGAGTTTCCTTAGAGAGTGATCATAGTAACCCTTCTGATTCATGCAATGTTTTTGCAGTGATTTTTTTTAAAGAAAGTGTTTCTATGCTTAGTATAGCCTTAAGTTTAATAGCTGCACCTTAAAATAACTGCTGTTCTCTGAATTTCTTCCTGTTGCTTCAGAACTATAGTGTATTGAGCTCAGGTTTTTCAGTTCCATGTGAAAAATGCTATGTTCTCATCCCCTCTATTAATGGAAAGGCCGTATCCCACATTTCATGCAGTTTTCTGGGTCACATGAAATGCAGAGGACTGTATGCTGTTCTTAGTGCTTTTTATTTTTTTCAGTACTGTTAGCAGTATAATACCATCACTTGTATCTACAAATAGTATGAGTGGAAACCTTAGACTGACCCAGATTCTCTTTTTAATGTTTTTGTCTTCTGTGAGCAGCAGATGACATTGAATCATTAAAGAGAGTCTGAAAATTGCTGTTCTAGAAATTACTGCTCCAAATTTCTAGTGTTTTGTCGTTTTTGTTGTAGCTTTTCCAGATTTTAGCATTTATACTTTCCTAGAAAAAAACAAGTACTTACAGCAGCAGCCTCTCTATTCAATTAAAATCTAACACACATTTTACTTTTTCTTTACATTTGCTTTCTTCAGATGACAAATTTCATTCACAGTTGCTTTGTCAGCCATAGAGCAGCTCTAGGAAATACTTTTATCATGAGTAAGGACCTTTTACAAAATTGAGGTTGAGTATAAGTGGTCTTACAACAGGGCAGAACAATTAGAATATGCTATTTATGTATTTGTCACTTCTATTTATGTATTTGTTCACTTCTTTATAAAGAAGTGGTTACATTGTGTGTGTCTGTCTTACATGTAGGTATAAAGAAGTCAAAAGATCCTGCTTGTGAAAAAGATTAATGTTCAGGTTGCCCAGTTTGATTTGATTTTGATTTAAGGTCTTGGTTGCATGTTTGAAATAGGTGCCCAAAGCACCCTCCTGACACACATACACAAATGCCCTTCTGTTTCTTGTTCAGTCGTCAGTGCCTTTATCTGTGTAACCCCTTGCATAATGTTCTCTTCTCGCAGGTATCCTTTGTGTGGCTGACCAGTGCCACGGCTTGCGTGAGCTGGCGCTGAACTACCACCTGCTGAGCGATGAGCTGCTGCTTGCTTTGTCTTCTGAGAAACACGTCAGGTTAGAACACTTGCGCATTGATGTTGTGAGTGAGAATCCCGGACAGACTCAGTTCCACACCATTCAGAAGAGCAGCTGGGACGCTTTCATCAAGCATTCTCCTAAAGTAAACCTAGTCATGTACTTTTTCTTGTATGAGGAGGAGTTTGACCTGTTCTTTCGTTACGAGATACCTGTCACTCACCTTTACTTCGGAAGGTCGGTCAGCAAGGACGTGCTCGGCCGCGTTGGGATGACGTGCCCGCGGTTGGTTGAACTGGTGGTGTGTGCCAATGGATTACGGCCGCTGGACGAGGAGCTGATCTGCATCGCGGAGCGGTGCAAGTACCTGTCGGCCGTGGGCCTCGGGGAATGTGAAGTCTCTTGCAGTGCCTTCGTTGAGTTTGTGAAGATGTGTGGCGGTCGCCTCTCTCAGCTCTCTGTTATGGAGGAAGTTCTGATTCCTGATCAGAAATACAGCTTAGAGCAGATTCATTGGGAAGTTTCAAAGCATCTTGGTAGAGTCTGGTTCCCAGACATGATGCCCACTTGGTAAAGTCCTTAAAAGACTCCAGGGCGAATGGAGTAGCACCTTAAATGCAAGCTTATCATATTGCAATTTCCTGTATAAGCTTATTTAATAATATAAATTTTATTGCAAGTCAATTAATGGTTTGATTAGAAATTTAGTTGTTCTTTCAAAACATATTTTGGAACTTAAGAACCACAAATAGAGTTCCCAGCTCCAAAACCTGTTTTTATCCAAACTAAATTCAGGTTTCTGTTTTAGATTTCTTCTTTGTCGCTAAAAGTGACCTCAGACATTTTTGGAAATAAAAATTATTTAAAATATTGAAATGTATTTGCAAAATACCAGTTTTAATATCCTGATTTTCCTTGAATTAGATTAGTAGTATTGGACACAATCATATTTGATCTTAAAAAGCCAAACAAAACCCCACCAAAATTGCATGCTTTTGTTGCAGACTGTAGCATATCTAAATCCAGTCACCCCAATGACAATTAAAAGAAGTGTTTAGTTGCCTGGGAAGTACACACATTCTGTTAAGTCATAAAGGCAAGAGCAATACACAATAGTAAGTTCAGACTTCTAAAGCAGTAAGTTTTACCACCTTATTCAACAGATTATTAGATCCATCTAAAATGTATTTAGAGTGTTAACCAGTAGCGTGAGCTACCAAAAATGATGTGGGGTTTTTTTCTACCCTCTATGCATTTTAATGTAGTTTGCTTATGGGGTCTCTGATCTGCGTCTAAACCTGTTTTAAGGTATTTTATGTCTAGCTCAGGAAGCGAAAGCATTCTTGGGAAAAATGTAGATACATTGTATTTAAAACCGCACTGGAGGTAATGAGCTTTTGTTGCACATTAACCGGTTTGGCAGCATATGGTGAGATGGAATAATGTATGGTTTGTGAAATGAACCCAGCAATGTTATTCTGATGACGTGGCGGAGAGCAGTGTGAGGTGAGAAAGGTAAAATTTGAATCTTGACCAAGGACCTTTTCACAAAACCTTAGACTTTTTGGCTGCTTTCAGTTTTACAGAAATGACATTGGAACAGTTGCTTAAGCTGTATAAACTAACTGTATACTGTAAATCTGTTTCAGAAATGTTTATGTATAAAGTGAATGTTTGATAGATAATAATTTTTGTATACCTTTAATTCAGCTAGTTCTGTCATTTCATAATATTTAACAACCCAAAAGGAGTAGATTTGGTGAAGTAGAGCAATAGGCAAAAATTTGTTTCGACCATTTGATAAATCAGTTTTATTAAAGGAAGTTTTTAGTTCGTAAGTATTGTAGGCAAGACACTGCCTGTAATCTGGATGTGGCTTGTGACTTCATTTCTTACTGCCAACAAGTATTTTCTCCTTGAGGTTACGGTTGGTAACACTGAAGTGTTGCCCAGACAGCTGCATGTTTGAGAGATGTGGTCAGCCCTCAGCAAGGCAGAGCTGCCCCTGTGGGCCAGGTTGAGCTTAGCTGGTGGCTGCTTCTCACTTGAGCTGTACAGCCCCTTCTGGTAGTAAGTAGATGTCCTTCATCTCTGATTTCAGTCATGTTTATCCAAGTGCATAATTTAGTGTAATACACTTATGAGTGTATTTAAGTTCACACTATATTTTGAGCAAACGATGCTCAGCGGACTGGACATCTTTATAGGGAAATTGTATGTTTCTGTAGAGCTTTGATTTAAAAATTGCATTTTATGAAATATGCGGTTTTTGTATTAGAATTTGTTAAATTAATGTAATACTATAATTTGCTTTTATTTGTACAAAAGGTGTCAATATATTTAGTCCGTGAAAGTAAAAAAGCTCTGTGTCTTTTATAACCCGACTCTCAGAACTGCCTGTATGAGAAAGGTGGAGTGACACTTGTAGTCTGGGGAACAGGATTTAGTTTTCGCTAAATTAATGTGAAATGCCATTAATAACAGAGCCAAAACCTCTTTGGACCTTGGCTGTAGGTGTCCCACTGCTGGCAAGATAAGTCACCAAAATGCTGGTAGTGGGAATAACTGAAAGGCACGGCAGAACCTCAATTCCAGATCCCACTCCTGGAACTCACACCTTTGAGACCCAGTGTTCTGCTGCTCACAGAGAAGCCTCTGTCACACCCCGGTGTGAGGAGCGTGTTAGGAGCTGAAGGTGGCAGGGTTGGTTGTAGCAGAACTGCCTTCCCAGCAGGATAACTGGCTGGCTCTGCAAAGGCTGTGTTATTGCACTGACTTGAAAAAGTCCTTCTGAATGCAGCACATTATACTGGTTATCAAGATGTTCAGTGCAAGAAAGCTGCTTAAAAGCAGTTGTCTCTTTTCCAGTGGAGGTCAGCACTTTTTATACATTGAATCAATTACTGCATCCTTTGTTCAGAGAATCCAGCTATAACATAAACTTGCCAGGCAAGCCTACAGTGCTTTTTTAGCTAATTCTGTATGTCTTATTTTGCCTTCTACATGTTGAAACAAATGAATAGTAAATACCTAAAAATCATGGCACAAGTAGTGAAGACTCACGAAGTTCACTAGTAACATGAACGTGAGTGTTATAGATGTATCATTTTTCCCTGCGTTCACCTTTATTTGTTATTTTCAGAATAACAAAACTCAGTGTTGGCTCAGTTGTCCAGTTTTGGGTAGGAGTATTAACTATGTGTGCAGTGACAAATCTGACCTCTGAATCCAATTGGTTACAAGTTAGGATATTGAAGGCAGCAGCTCTCCTAGTCCAGGACACCTGTGGGTGGGTTTATGAGGGGGAAGGCAGAGACCATTGGTATCAATGATTTTCATTGCACAGCCCTTTGGGGAACAGGAGCAGCACTCTCCATTTGACCTGGACAGATGATGAGCCAGGATCTGCTTTGCTGGAGAACCCTCCTGGAGTGAAGTGTGGCTTACGACCCTGAGCAGCCCGTGGGTGTAGCAATGCAGCAGCTTTGCACAAGACCACTGTGCAGACTCAGAAACTGTAGTACAGAATGACTGTGTATTTTTGCCCTCAAGTGCAATGTGCATAAGAGCAGAACCAATACTCTCTAAAGTGGTGAACAAGTCCTGTATTCAAACTGTGAGTAAAGACTGAGTGACAGTGACACAATGCCAGGCTTATCCTTGAGCCTGGCAGTTTGGACAGAGCCCTGGTTCCTACTGTTGGGTAAGTGGTAATTACCACCTGGCTGTGAGTGAAATGAAGTGAGATCCTACCTGTTTCTGCTCCCTGTGTGACTTTCAGGAGGCCATCCTTAAGTGTTTGAGGTGAACAGGTGGTTTTTGGTCACAAACAGACCATCAGGTGCACAGAAGCTGTTTGTGACTGGTTTTTTTAAGTTATAAAAGTGTCATTTTTATGGATCTGTTCTAGGCTTGTCTAAACTTTGCAGAATTAGCCTATTCATTACCTCTGGTTTTTTGGATCTAACTCTGTAGGCCTAACTCAAGGATTGTGGGTTCTGCCTTCAAGAGAGCACGGCACTCAACAACTTCAACTCATTCCAGTGCAGTGATTCCAGTTCAGCTGCAGCAACAGCACCTCTTTCAGGGTTGGAGTTTGTACTGGTGGAGTTTATTCCCACTCAGCTGTGCATTCAGTTTGAACAATTAATTAACATATAAACCCTCTCCAGTTGAGAAGCAAAGAAAGTGAGAGCTCTCTCTCCAACCCCTGTGCCCAGAAGGAATGAACACTGGGCTCAGAAGGAGCTCATGTTTGTTATATAAAGGACAACTACATTGACAATTGGTACCTTTAAACTGAGGATAGTGTTCAAAGTGTGAAACAGACAGAGGTGCCTGCATGGAGGAATCCCCTCATCACTGGCACTGTGATCTGTGGGCTTGGTTCTGTGATCCCATTTCCCCTTCAGAGCTTTGAACACTGGGTTGAGGCTTTTTCCTGGGAAGACAAATGTGGGTTTAACAACATTGAGAGTTTCAAAGTCATAAGAATGAGAATTAATTCACATTAATGAGAATTAGGGTTGCAACAGGCTTGCTACCAGCCCCTTTGACTTCCCTAGAACCTCCTGGATTACCTTCCTGGTGGTGCTGTGTGGTGCTTGGTTGCTGGCTGAGGTGAAACCACGACAGTATCTTAATCCAAATCTGAACTCAGTCACAGAGGCCTGTGACTTTGGCTAAAAAGACTCAAGTCTTTGATGCAAAAGATGAAGTTTCACCTAACAGTGAAAGCAGCAGCTTGAAGAAAGGTGTGCTCATCCCCCTCATTCGTCTCCCATTCATCCCATTACATGATAATGCAATTCAACTAATTTTAGTGACTTTATGAATACAAGGGTAATTTTCAGTCATTCTAATTATTTTAATCCAAGCACTCTCCTCTCTGGCTGCAGCAGGCTATTTAGCTTGGCTCAAGCCAAATGAAACTGCAGAGCTGGGTTCCTGTGTTCCTGCTGGGCCACAAGACAGCAATAACCTCTGCAGGAGCACTATTTATTCCACAGCTAGTTTTAAAAAAAACATCAAAGTGAGCAGTGCACACTTGGAGATGACTACATTGCTGCAGCTGTGTTTTTTCTGTGTGCAGGCACCTCAGTAGTTTCCAGAAAGCCAGTGTTCCTCTGGCTTTGGTCCCTTGGGTTTAAAGAGAACTAACTGATTGCCAAGGTGCTCTAGGCTGAGCCTGGAACAGGACTCGAGGACAGCACAGCTGGCACAGCACCACTCCTGCAAACATCACTGCCAGCAACAGGCTGCAGTCACATTTTAGAGGCAGCTCTGTGACAAGCATGGATTTTTAACTCCACTATTGATGCCCCACAAGCTGTCATTACTTCTTTCATATTAAGATTTCTATGCTTTTTGAAAAAAATTATAGCAATATACACAAGTTTCATGAAACTGACTGTGGTAGTTTGGCAATTGAAGCCTCAAGTAGACTTTAAACCAGTAGACTGGTAGAACACTGCAGTTATGCATCAGCTGAACACTGAAACAGGCAGTTTGGTTTTTATCTGTACCACAGATAACACACATGAACACACATGAAACTGAAGAAGAGCCACCTGTATTGTGTTTACAGTACAGTTGAAGGAAACAAAGTGGTGAAAAAGCATCACCCATGCCATCCTCCTGTACATTCACTGCCCCAGAATACCAGAGAATAGTTCACAGGTCCCAGCTGTACAAACCAAAGAACTACAGGAACATCAGTGTAAGGCACATGTTGAAGGAACTGGGCACATCAAGACACTCATGTTGAGCGAGTTAGTCCTTGTAACTTGTGTCCCACCTCTCTCGGTGGCCAGCTGCTATCTGCTGCCAGTGGCCATGCATGTGGAGAGCACCTGAGCCCAGAGCAGGCAGCTGCCTCCCCATTCCCCCTCTGGCACTGCAGAGCTCAGCCAGAGGAGCCACTGCAGTCTCCCTTCAGGCAGCAGGGGCCATGCTTACACAGAAGCTGGCCAGGTCAGCGATGCTGAAGCATTCATGAATGCGTTACACAGGTAGTACGAAAACAAATGCAGAGTCTTTCACCTGGTACAGCAAAGCCTTCCCAACACAATGTTTTAGTCAGCAGTGAAACATACAACCCTTTAACACCATCATGGTAGCACTCCAAAATCCTTAAGAATATTCTGCCATAAAGGCATGTTTTGTTCTTCATTAGGCAGTCATACACCAAAGGATGCTTTGCGTCCAACAGGCAAAGGGACCTCTTCATAAATTATTTTGAGATAAGGGGACTTCATAGGTAAAAACCAGTACTCCAAGTTGTAGAAGAGGTAAAACTGATGATTCAAGATGACATGATCAATTATTTTGAAAAGATCCACAATAAACTCTCTGACACTCTGATGAGGTTTAAATGGATTGTAAAAGTCTCGTATAGCTGCTGCCAGTGTCTTGTTTCCTCCTGGTCCAAAAATAGATGTTTCATTCCCCAGATAAATAGGTTCCCCACTGAATAAAATTATGCTTGTATAGTTTGTTTGTATCTTCTTAAATACAGCTCCTAAGTCAGCTAGCTTCTGGTAGGTTCTCAGTATAAACTTGGAGCACTCATAGGAGTCAAACCACACTGTTGACCTTTTGTCGGGACTTGCTTGAACTGTCCAGGTCTCATAGTAAATGCCAGTCTCATTGTCGTATTTTACCCATTGTGCCATTTCATTAAACATGGTTCCTGTAAGAGATGAAAATAAGTATTGCAGAGATGAGCTAACAAATGCAGGATTCAAAATATTTTCCATCTGTTTCAAGGTTCACCTGCCCCCCTGAAAAAGTTTACCTGCACTACCTCACCATACACAGAGACAAGACTTAGGCTGGAGGGGCAAGGGATAACCCACTGAATAAACTACGTTTACATGCAGCTTATTGAAACTGTAATTCCTTTCTCTGATCCTTTTCCTGCTAATATGCCAGAACATTCAAACATCAGAGAATTGTGACACCTCTCATTTTGCTTTATCCATGCAGACAAACATGGCAGAGGTAGTACAGTCTACAAGAGATGCTGACAAAATGCTCACCAGACCAACAGACATTTCTGCACTTCAAGTTTTAATTAAATTCAAAAACTCAGAGCAGAAATTTTCATGTCTTCACAAAAGAGACGCAGACTGAGACACCCTGTTGATTGAGCAACTCCACAGCTGGCAAAGCTGAATTGAGCCAAATTATGAGTGGGATGTAAGACCACTAAGATGGGATGCCTTTTCCAGCTCTCTGAAGGGAGCAAGTTCAGCTCGTGATGCTGTTCATCTGTGTTTGCATCCACTCACCCTCTTTGACTAGAAATCTGAAAGCTATTGTGAAATTCAGACAACTGAAAACTCTCAGAGATGTTACTC